GAAGAGGCTTTCTCAGGATCTGAGAAATCCTATTTGAAAGGTGCCTTCTGTCTTTCCAATGAATAGTTCCGAAGCTTCTTTCTTCTTCAGTACTTCCTAAAGTTCTTGTTAAAAATACCAACCTTTCACTCTGCTAAGGGGAACAGAAGAGTGAGGGGTGTAGATAAACCTGGGCCCAAATCTACCATCATCGGTTGTATTAGATGTCCTAACTACCTGTTCTGAACAACTTTAAAAAAACCAAAACCTGTTTTGGAGCTTTCTGCCTCAGTCTAATGCACTAATCAGTGCACATGTAACAGTGTTATGTTTTATCAACACTTGAGCCAGAATTTTAAAGGAAATGGCTTATACCTTAGGAATTAAGCATCATGCAGTCATGGGAATCAAAGGGACAAACCACAAAGGAAAGCCATCTCCATGTTACCTGAAAGAAGCTTCTCCTAGGTGAGGCTGGAAGTAGAGGAAGGCCAAGAGACATCTCAACTACAGAATTTTCAGATGCATTTGCTTGAGGATTTCCATGAGTGCCTCCTTAAATTTTGAGGCCTAGGTTTACCTCATCCTTGTCTCTGTCCTGCTTCCAGAACTTTCATCTTCTGAAAGTAGGGAGTGTATATTTTATTTTGATAAGAGAAGTCACTACCTTACAAGAATCTTGCCTTAATGATGCTTGATAAATATTGAGGTTTTAAAAAAAAAGTGATTAAAAAGGAAATATACTTGCCCTCAAAGAAACTAAACCTAAAAACAACAAAAAAACTCACTAGGAATCTATAGGTTACTGCCTTTTCCTTCTATCACTGCCCCCAACAAATAAATCTTTATAATACAAAGGTGGCTATAATCTCAAGTCATTTAAAACCAAGTGTAAATCATTTCTTAATGACTTTCTGGCTTCCTTAGGTATAGTCACTTTCTACTATCACAAGAGAAATCAATCAGCCCTTTGGCTTGGCTCTAAGCTCAGCACATGGATTTATATAGACAGATTAAGAAGACAGAACATTTCATCAATAAGTAAAAGAGAATGGAGTCATAGCTTACACTCTAACACTGGTGTTTTGTCCTAGAGAATGCTACCTTATCAGGGCTCAGCCCTCCCTTTTGGTCTTCCATCCTTCCCTAATCCTTTGGCTGAAGAGAAGCCCTCCTTCTCCATGTTAACTGCTAAATCTTTCTTTAGATTCACAGAACCCAGGTGCCTTTATAACACCTTTCCTTACTTTCTAGATACAGAAGGTGGAGGCTCACTGTGAAGTTCTGGAAAAGGCACAGGCTCCTGCTCTGTTGCAGCCTCACTGTCTCCTTGCCTACCCACAAAAACCCTGAGAGAGAAGGTAGGAGCTCTGAGGAATTAGCCCCTATTATCTTCTTCAGGGCCACCTTTAAGTAAACTTCATTTCTTTCCAGCAGGCAACACCAGACATTTGATTCCAGTAATTCTACTAGGCTGAAGCTAGAAAAACCAGATTTGGATCACTGAATTATCACATATATAAATGTAGGAACTGCATTGAAGTTCTAAGATCCTTTCATATTCTTACAATCCTTGATTCTATTCTGGGATTACAGCCAAGGAGCAAGTACTAGGGACCATACACTTTAGAGCAGTGGTCAGACAGAATTGCTTCATCAAGGTCAAGAAACAGTTCAGTGCTTGTTTTTTTCCATTTGCCTTAACATTTGCATACTCACCTTAAAGTTATCCAGGCCAAACAAGTGATAAGTAATCCAAGAACAGCTAAAACTGAGTAAGAGTTGAAAAACATCACCTCTCAAGATCACACTGTATGAGCTGGCAGAGTGGCTCAAGCTGTAAGAGTACCTACCTAGCAAGCGTGAGGCCCTGAGTTCAAACCCAAGTAGTGACAAAAAAAAAAAAAGATCACATTGTGTCATTTCATTTACATGATCAGTAACTTAGCAAACACTAAGTATTCAAGTCCTTACTAGCACTTGCTGTATGCAAGGCACTGTGTTATGGAGCAGTTGTACAAATAAGCAATCACTGTCTGAACTTGAAATCTGGTAGGCTATCTTGCTCAGTAAGGATACACTTAAGATGGAGAAGTTCCACTGAAGAGCTACAAAGTCCTCCAGTGGGGGAAGCATAGCTTTCTGTCTTGGAATCCTGTTTTACCACTTAAAGCTATGTGACTGCAGAAGAGATTAATTTTCCTTCAGTTTCCTCATCTATAAAGTGGGGACATTAGTAGTACCTTATTCATAAGGTTGTTGAGGATTCAATGAGATAATAGAACAAAAGCAGCTTAAAGTAATACCTGTTACAGTAAATATACAGTAAATGTTAGCTATTGTTATTATTATGGTAGCTCAGAGGACTAAGTGGTTGATTTATCTTGGGAGAAAGAAGACAGAGTTCCTAAGGAGGCAGTGTTTGAATTGGGTATTGAAAAGATGGGTGTTGAATAAGTCAAGCAGAAGAAAAAAAGAGAAAGGAGAAAAGAGAGGGACAAAGAGAAATCCTTGAAATAACCATGTATTTCAGTCTGCCTAGAGTGAAGTTCCTAAGCAGAAAAGCACTTCAAAGTACCATTGTAGACGCTTAACATAATCACAAGTTGTTGTTTTTTTCTATTAGTTTCCCTTCATCCTCAGACATATCCTAGAAATTAACACAGTAGCTTAAAATTATCAAATCTTACTGTTAATACAGATAGGTAGTCAGCATTATAGTTTATATGAGTTGATCAGCCCAAGCATCCAAATCCCAAAACTTTTTTTTTCTAGCTCTTTCTAGAAACAACCTCTCAAGTCTGAAAATGCACTATGAATTCTGAAGTCTCAGAATCAAAAAACAAGTTCCAAGCCAGGTAAAAGTCACTTCCCCTCTCTGGGCTTCAATATTGGAGAAAGAAATACTGAGCTGGTAGGAAGGCCATTCTAATAAAGGAAAATTTACCAACCTCTTTGGGTTGATACAGGACACAATACACCAACAGATGAGAAAGTCCCTTACATACTTGTGTTATATACACAAGTGTTCTTCCTACACAGCTCATAGAGAAAAACAGCAACTCCAAACAAGACATGGCAATAAGTAGCAAAAAGAGTATTTTTGAAATCAAACCAATTTAGATCTGAACCTTACCTAGTTCTGCTATTAGTTCTGTGGCCTTAAGGCAAAAGAGCCAGAAACTGGCTCATGTTATTGCTGGGATTTTATCAAACAAACAATACAGATCTTGTAATGGCACTTCCTCTCCCTATTTCAGCCACTTAGAAACGTGTGCTGGACCTAATGACATATATTTGAGAAGCTATTCTGATTTCATCTTATTATTTTAACTCTTATCCCTTTGTTGGGCCATTCTGATTTTTCACATTTTTAAAGTCTCAAATCCCACCTCATTCCCTTTTTAAAAATGAGCCTGAGCCTGAAAACAAATCATAAATTTACTTCTTCCATTAGTCCCTCTGTTTTCCTCCTAAACAAAAGCTCTTGAACTTATTTGTATTCCCATTCTTTTAAATGATTAATTATATTTAAGAGTTTCCAACTTAATTGACCAATATCAGAACCATTCAAATACTGCTAGCTGAATCTAGCCCTAATCAAAACTAAATTTTATTATGCATGTTCAGGACATTGTCTAATAACAGTATATTTTAATGTGTTGATTAAGAGTTTTAATTCATTGGGCAAATTACGATATTCTACATTAAACTGCATATATCATTTGGTCCTCACAGCCTCCTTGTAAAATTGGTCTGGCAGGCGTTATTTTCTATTTTCAACATGGGAAAACATCCAGTAGGTCTGATGTGACAGAGTGAGTTGAGAAGCCAAGTCCTTCACTTCTAATTCAGCAATCTTTTCGTTCTGATGTCCTGCTTATGGGAGCTCTGGAAACAGGCAGCAAAAAAACCAAAAACTAAAGCAGCTTACTTTTCCCAAACTATATAGAAATAAATAACGATGGAATGTCTGTTGAGAAACATATGATAAGCATCCATCAATGGGCAAGATATTTTAAAATACGGTCTCCATTAGATGTTTTTTAGAAACAGTTGTATGGATGCAGGGCATGAAGTATTTCCATTGCATTCCTTTTATCCAACCTCAGTTCTCCTTAGCCTTCCACAGGGCCTATACTCATATGTGGTTGTAGAGGGACTCCACTATTTGGAGAGCAAAGAAAAGAATGCAACCTCACACAATGTGCCATGTAATATTAATTCCACATACTACAACAAACAACCAGTCACTCTGCTGATTGTGGGACTTCTTCCACACTCAGCACCAATGGGTGCTTTGATTAACAATCATCCAAAGCCCACATTACAGTATTTGCTTTTCTTACTTTGGACATAGGTCAAATATAGTTACTGCTAATAAAATCTGTTGACCTTTATGCTTCCTGGGTGTTTATGATAAGGTTATTGACTTGATAATACCCTACTTTGGTTTTCATGAAAAAGTTTTGAAGAGCAAGTTACCTCCTAAAAGTAACTTATCTTGGATCAGTGACAGTACACTGATCACCAGCACAACTCTTGAGAAACACGATTATGAAAAGTGTCCAAAGAGCATCTGGGCATAGCCAACCTGGCCATAAGTCGTTGGGCCAGGGAGGATGGAGATGGGGGTGTTCCGTCCCCAGTGTGCAAAATACCCCACCGTTGGTCCGTCTAACAGGTCCATGTTAGATGGGCGGCGGCCGGACAGACAAGCCTTCCATCTGTCCCGCGGCCCCCAGGACGAAGTGGGCGAACTTGGGATTGGGACAGTGACCTTGACAGCCCCTCCGCTGCCCGGGGGAGGCTTGGGATGGTCACGGGACTGGGGTAGTGGCGTGACAAGTCTCCAGCAGGCTCGGGGTGGACGTGGCGTCGGGTCAGTGGCCATGTCCGCCCCTGTGAGACCCCGGGAATGCTCAGTCGCACGAGGGGTCTCCTCTGTCCCCCGGCGCCCCTTAGCAACCTGGGGCCGAGTTCCCCTGCTCCGCCACTAAGGCGCGGGCGGCGAGCCCTACCTCCTCGGTGGCCGTGGGGCAGTAGAAGATGAGCACGAGCGTGGTGACCAGGTTGATGGCGAGGCCGAGGAGGGTGATGGTGTTGGGGGCCATCCAGAGCGGGATCCACTGGAGCAGCCAGGTCCAGTAGAGCTGCAGCGGCGGCTCGAGCAGCGAGGTCCCCGCCGCGCTGTAGCGATGCTCCTCCAGCCGCCGCAGCTGCGCGGCGCTCAGCGGCTCGCCCAGCGCCTTCAGCCAGCGCGGCGCCGGCCTGGCCCCGGCGCCCGCCGCCATGGCCGCCTGCGGGCCCGCCGCGACCAGCGCAGCCCGCCGCCCGCGCCGGGGGCGGGGAGAGCCGGAGGGGGGGGCGCGCGGCCGGGGCCTGCGCCGGCGGGTGGGACTCGCCGGGACAGCCCGCTCCGCCGAGATCGAGGTCAGCCCCCCTCCCGCCCCTTCCCCGGTCTCCGCCCCCTTCCTCAGTCCCCGCCCCCAAAGCGGTGGGGGGGCGGCCGCGGCCGCCGGGGGGCGGGGCCTCGGGGGCGGGGTGGAGCGGAGCGCGGTAGCGTCCCCATGTATCTCCGTAGGGCCCGCGGGCCCGAGCTTTCCAGTTTTGCTCCAGGGTCTGCCTTGCCCAGAACCTCCTGCACCTACTCTAAAGTGTGATTTCTTGGCCTCTGGCGTCTGCATGGCTGCAGGGTGACAGGGACGGGTCCTCTACCTAGTGGTGACAGGCACTTCTCTCTCGTCTTTGGTCAACTCCTGCAGAACGCCGCCTACAGAGCCTGGGGTGTTTTTGAGTGAGGACATGATTTTGCAGATCTTGGGCCACCGGAGTAATGGTGGTCCCATCTGTCCTGTTTGGTAAACACACGAGACTCCCCCGATACACTAGCTCTGGTTAAGCCTCGCTGCAGTATTGCGGGATCAGAGAAAGATGTTGTAAAACCCCAAATCAGGGCTTGCCAACACTATCTAACAGGGGAACAATGTTTGAAACCCACACACCTATTTTTTAGAGCATTTGACACCAATCACGATGGGTATTTTTAGACAGGCCCTTCCTTGGAATAGAGGGCAAAAGTCCAAGAGTGTCCTCTCACTGCCCCTCCAGCAGGCAGCTAGCCACACAATAGTTCACCAGTCCCTTACCTCACAATGCACCTACTTGACCCGGGGACATCCTGTCATAAACATGCCTGTCCCTGTGTCTCTCTCATGCCTGTCAGAATCTCTCTCACAGATTCTGATCTCTGTGTGTTTCCCTGGGGCGTAAGACAGGCGAGAAACCACTTCCCTGATACTGCACTGGACAGTCGATCAACAGATCTATTTTCCCCACAGCATTCTTCCAAATATTTTGTAACAAGGGTCAGCAAGCTGTGACCTGTGCGGGTCAAATCCAACCCACCACCTGCTTTCCTAACAGCCTACTAGCGAAGTATGGTTTCCCATTTTCGAAGGATTGGGAAAAAATCAAAAGAAGAGTATTTCCTGATGTGGAACTTAGGAATTTCAAATTTCAGTTCCCTGAATAAAGCTATGTTTATTCCAGCAGAGTGCATTCGGCAGTGGGACAGACCATGGCCTGCAAAGCCTAGAATATTTACTAACTCTTCACAGAATTAAGTTTGGCAACTCCTCCCTCAGAGCAGTACAAAAACAATTCATTGGAGATATTCCTAATTTTTAATGTGAAAACGAGTCTGACAAATGCAGGAAAGGAATCAACGATACAGATCCACTTTTAACGATGCCAACTTTTTTCTGCAGTGGACTTGGATATATCTACTTTTTAATTTACCAATGCCATGGCAAGGAAAAATCCTTTCTTCCAGATTAATAAACTCACTCATATTAAAGATAATTTCTAATACGTTGAAAGAGAAAAGACAAGCCATAACTTGGAAAATGTTATTTCCCTCAGATAGCATCCACAATCCATAGCACTCATATAAAGAACTAAAAATCAGTAAGGAACCGAAACAATTCAATGGGGCTGTGTTCAGGTTATCTATAATCACCCCTCATCCCCAAACATGTTGACATATATAAAATTTACATTTATTTTTCTCTCACATAAGAGAACTCCAGAATGGCAGTCCTACATTGGTGTGGTGGTTTCATGGTCATCCGGAACCCAGGCTCTCCTGAATCTTTTTGCTCCAACATCCTCTCTCACCTCTCCAAGGTCATTTCAGCAGAATTGCTGCTGCAGCTTTAGCCATTCCATCTGCATTTCAAGCAGCAGGAAAGAGAAAGAGAATGGGGGGATGGGGTGGAGTGGATAATGCTCAGTTGAGCCAGGAAACTAGAGTGCCTTTTCAAAAGTTCCAAATAACACTTTTATATGTAACTCATTGGCCAGAACTTTGTCATGCGGCCTACCTAAGTGCAAATGTTAGCAAAGGAAAACAGATGAATACAAACATTTGCAAAACAATCTGGCGTTATCTGGTGAAGTGGAACATCACATGCTTTATGACACGACACCACAGCTCTGACCTAGGAGTATACCCTAGAGAAATTCTTGTACATGCATCCTAGGAGGTAGGTATAATAATAGTCACATCTCATTTGTTTGTACTGTAACCAAAAGTGCTAAATAATTTAAGTGTCCACCAGTACTGAATAGGTAATTAAAGTATATTTTCATTTAATAGTGAGTTTAATATAGCAGTGAAAAATCAACAAACTCTAGCTTCACTTAATATGATTGGATTGCACAAGCATACTACTGAGGTAACTACGTTAGTTATCATGGGCTGTCGTAACAAAATGCCACTGAGTGGGTGACTGAAACATCAGGAGCTTACTTCTCACAGTTTTGGAGACTGGGAAGGTCCAAGGTCAAGGTGCCACTGGATTTGATTTCCCACTGAGAACTCTTCTTGGCTTATATGTAGCCCCCTTCTCTTTATGTCTCTACACAGTGTGGACTGACCCTTGGTGGTGGAAGGGACAGGAGAAGGAGGGAAAAAGGAAAAGGATAGAGAGAGAACATCTTCTGGTGTCTCTTCTGATAAGAACACTATTTCTATCAGGGGTGTCACACCCTCACCCAAGCTTAATTATTTCCTAAAGACCTTATCTCCAAATACCCTTGAACATATGAACTGGTTGGTGAGAACTACAAAGTCCACAGCAGTAAGTCACAGGAAAAATGCACACAACATAACTTTATATAAAGTTTAAAAACATGCAACACTGCATTTAGGAATATGTACACTGTGGCAATGCTATGAAGAAAAGGAAAAAAAAATTAAATACAACTCTGGATCATGGTTGCTCCTGATAGGCAAGAAGTGAGATGGGATGGTAGAGAGGCACACTGCAGCCTTGAAAGGTATTGGGAATTGTTCTTAGGATGTGCTAGGCAAACTCCTGAAGGTCAGACCACAAGAGGTCAAGGAGACACTTCTCCTCCCTAGGAAATGTTTGCATCTGAAAGGCATCTCCACCCTCAGGCAATGCAAAAATAGACTATAAAACCCACTCCCCACCCTGACCCATGGGGATCACTGGTTTCCAGGTCCCCCTGCATACCCCAATATGCAGTTTCTCTCTTCTCTTCTCTACAAATAAATTCTCTATGAATAAAATCTTTCCGACCTCTGCCATTAGAGTCTGTCCATGCTTTCATTCTCAGAGCAAACTCAAGAACCCTGAGCACCTGAAATTCCTGTGTGTGTCACCCATGCATCATATTTGGCGAAATGCGAAGGGACCAGCTGTCACCTGAGGTCAGTATAGGTTGTGCCAAACTGGGAAAGACTGCCTAGAAATGTGACTGTGAGTGTCCAGCACTCCGGTGGAGTCTGTTTTCCAGGAGAGACCCCCCACCATGGCCTAGCTACGGTGGAACTCTCAGGATGACCTTTTCTCTCTCTCTCTCTCAATCTTTTTAAGGAGGGTTTCTTCCTTGGGAAACTGAGGAAAAGCTCCAAGCCCACTACAGCTGTACGGCAGGCAATCTGAGGAAACTCTGACACCAGATGGGGGATTATACTGTACTGCCAATGCTACGTGGGCAGAACCTGACTTCAGTGCATTGAGGCTTTTTTCTTCCTCCTCTCCTTAAACTCTAACTCTCTTTCAAGATCTGACCAGCTTAAGGGGAGGTCTGAAAACAGCCGGTGGAAAGGAAAATTTGTCTTCAAGCCAAAAAAGGTGTTCTGGCTGGAGCACTCCCCAGTGTCACCAAAGGCTGGAGACACAACTTCCTGACCTGCCCTGAGGCTCCAAAGGTGGCTAAGTCTCGGACCCCTCCAGCTATGTCTGAGGCAAACAGACAACCAGATCTCTTATGCTTCCTTCATGGTTTCCGTAGCCAAAGAGTGGAGGTCACCTCTTGCTTCCAGTGCTCCAGTACTGCCTTTGAGTAGGATTGACCTGGACAGCAGGGATGGTCAATAATCCCTCATGCGTTGAGCCTGGAAACTCTCTTTTCCCCCAACCCTCAGCCTCTCCTTCCCCTTCCCAGGCAGTTCAGGATGAGTGTCCCCCTCCCCGCCTTTGCTGTAAATAGCAGTGAGCTTCTTTCTTCAGGAAGTTTAGGAAAAATCCTTAGAGGCATCAGAAAGTGCTAATCTCTAATTTAGGCTTAACTGTCTTTGTCAAGCATCAGGTTAACTGGTTAAACAGGTTCCACAGCCTGCTTTCAGGGAAAGGAAAAAAAAAAAAAAACAGTTAAAAGGCAAAAATCCTTAGGTCTTCTCCTTTTTTGGCCCTTACTGGAGCAAAAGCCTCCAGATGCTCTCACTCTCTCTTTTCATAAAAAGTATATATGCCTCACAGGATATATAGGGGAACAAAAGTCTACTTCATCAGGAATCCCCATCCATGCCTCTACAGGGGTCCTACTTCTGGCCATGCAAGCCCTCTTGATTACTTTAATAGAGTTGTTTTTTAAATTACAAGTGTTCAGCTGGTAGAGGAGAACTAGACCTACCTGCGTCACAGGGCAAACAGGCAAGTCAAATAGATGAGAGATTGGTCAAAGATCATCTCAGGGGGGTGGGTGCAACTGAGATATCTGTAAATCCTCCATGACTTTACCCACGAGTGGCAGTGGAAGAAGCAAGGGAGAGCGGGACGCCCTCTCCCACTAGAGCTTCTCCTCATCTGGGGCCGCCTAGATAAAAGGAGAAACCTCTGTTAAAGTGATCAATTTTCCCTTGTTTCCCTTTTTTTATATGGGGAATCAAGCCTCAAGGATCCAGGAAGGATCCCCCCTGCCTGCTTATTAAAACACTGGAAAGATCTTGATCCAGAAAGTCTTCAGCAAAAGCAACTCAAGTTTTACTGCACCCAGGCTTGGCCACATTACCCTCTGGGAGATGAGGAAAGATGGCCAGAAGGAGGGAGCATTAATTATAATGCCATTCTTCAATTAGATATGTTCTGTAAAAAGGAGGGAAAGTGGACCAAAGTTCCATATGTTCAACTGTTCTTTTTCCTAAGAGACCATCCAGAATGGCTGGATAAATGCAGGCTGTATACCTAGACCATGGTAACCCTTTGCA